CACTGAGATTATCCTTTAGTACAGCACTTCTCAAATTTTTTGGGCTCCAGAGCCCTTTACAGGGATAAAAATTTATGCGGAGCACCAACAGTCTACTGATTGTATGTACCTATTCATGTTTCCAGTTTTTCAACCTCCTGGAGCCCCTGGAGATGTTTCAGGGCGCCTGGGTGGAGCACAGTTTGAGAAACACTGCTTTAGTAAACCCCTAAATATAAATCAATGCTCAGTTGCCCAGATTGGCTCAGGGTGTACTTAGGTGCTGGGTTTTTCAGCTTTACTTAGTTAACAATAGCTACTAGGAATGTAAATTACCTTTTAAATTGTTAACTGGTTAAATGACTAAAATAACATTTAACTGGTTAACCATTGACAGGTAGGCGAAGCCTCACCTGCCTGCCTGGGCTGCTGTAACACAGCGGGGACTGGAGTCCTGCCTGCCCACCACAGTGGGGGCCGTCTAGCCCGCTGCATATGCTGGATCCTGTTGGCCAGCCTTCATACTAGGGATGTTAAATTACAGATAGCTAATTGAATAGTTAATGGAATTTCCATTGACTACTTGATCAGTTGATGGGGGAGGGAAGGTGCTCACTACCCCTCCTGTGGCTATGCAGTTTAAATACACCTACTCCATTTAAACTGCAGAGCTGCAGCGGGATTAGCTCCCAGGGGTGATGTGAGCCGGGGCTAAGCTATCCCTTCTTGCGCCACCTCTGGACCAATCCAGCTGCAGCTCTGCCTTTTAAATGTAGTAAGAGCTGCCTGGCTCTTATTACGGGTTAGACCTTTCTTAATCAGGACTCTCTGATTCAGCAGCATTCCTGGTTTGGAAGCACCAAAAATGTTCCAGGACCAGAGAGTCCTAAGGAGGGCTGGTGGCTGGGAGCCCTGTAGTAGGGCTGGAGCCCAGTAGCAGGACTTCCTGTGGCAGTGAAACCAGGAGCTCAGCAGTAGGGCTGCTGCCCATTGGTGACACTGCAGGGGAAGGGTGCTGGGGTGGGGGAAGGGGGGAGAGGGGGAGGGGAATTGTGGGGCTGTTGCCTGCCAGAAAAACTGCCTGGCAAGACCGGGAGGCAGTGGGCTTGCCCACCTGTGGGGCTGGGAACCTAGCAAAGGGGCTGCCCCAACAGCACAACCAGAACTCCTGCATCCCTGCTGCTTACCAGCAGCGGGGCTGCCCCATGGGGCTAGGATCCTGACCATGGAGTTGAGTGGTGGCAGGGCCAGGAACCTGGGAGTGGAGCTGCAGCAAAGAGCTTGGCAACCCTGCTGCCTCCCTGCAGAGCTGCCAGGTGAGACTGGGAGGCAGCAGGGCTGCCCAACAAGGCTGAAGCTCAAGTGGGGCTGCCACCCAGAGGCACACCTGAACTCCAGCGGGGGGGCTGCCCTGTAAAGCCGAAAGCCCGGCAGTGGGGCTGCTACAGTGGGGCTGGGAGACCTGGCCTGATGGCAGGGGGAAGCTGGCTGGGAGGTGGGTAGCGAGGTCATGACTGGGAGGCTGGTGGCAGGGGTCTCAGAAATTACCTTCTCTGGTCCAGCAAAATCCCTCATCCGGGCCTGGCCAGGTCCTGAGGGTACAGGACCAGGGAGGTCTAACCTGTACATTTAAAAGGCAAAGGCATAGCGTGGGACCCAGCACAAGGCGGCACTGCTTCAGTCCCGGCTTACACCACATCCAGACTGCTGTGGCTCTGCTTTTTAAATGTAGTGAGAGGACCACTGTGCCTCTGCCTCCCCTACAATATTTCTCCCCACTGCGGAGACGGTGCTAGGGGGAACCAGCTTTTAAGCCAGCTCCCCCCAGCACCATCTCCTTCCCACAACCCTTGCTGCTTCTGATATAGAGGCAGACAGGGGGCGGGAAATTCGGGTAGTCGACTAGTCTACTTGTCTTTTACATCCCTACTCCATACTGCGGGGAATCCCACCAGCCCAACGCAGGCACGGCCTTATCTGCCACCTGCACACAGCTGGATGGACTCAGCCAAGGCTGCTCCAGCCTCCTGCAGTTGGCAGTCCAGCTGGTTACCTGTTAAGCATTCCAGTAAGCCTAATGCTGACTGGTTAACTTTTATCCCTGATAGCTACATGAATCCCAGCCTAAATTCCCTGTAAGCTACTAGGCTGCTCTGTGCATTGGCTATTAAGCCCCGTTCAAGGCTGCAGCAGGGAGAGATGCCTCTCCCCAAGTCCCAAAGCTGCTGGGGGAAAAGGGCTCCTTTTTTCTGGCCCCAAGATGGGGCTGCTGCGGCTGGGGAAAAGAGGCCCCTCTTTGCCAGCCCCAGCAGGAAGCAGCCAACAGCATGTCTGCTGCCTGTGCGTGTGCGCGCGCGCGCTAGTAAGCAAGAGCAGTGGATGTGGCATGCCACAGAACCTCATGCCTCTGCCTGTCCTCCAGAAGCTTGACCTTCTGGCTGCTTCCAGGGTGCAGTGCAGAGCCTCAGGACAGGCAGGCACAAGGCAGCCTGCCTTAGGGTCACTCATCAGGAGCTGCCCAGGTAAACCTGAGCCCACCCATACCTCAAATCCCTCATTCCCCAGTTTATACCCCCAATCCAGAACCTTTACCCCGTTCTGCATTCCAGCCCCTAGCCCAGAGTTCCCTACTGCACCAGCCCTGAGCCCCTCTCTAAACCCATATCCCCTCTCTCATCCCCAACACCTCATCCTACCCCAGACACATAAGAATGGCCATACTGGGTCTAGCCCAGTATCCTGCGACAGTGGCCAATGCCCAATGGCCCAAAGGGAGTGAACAGAAACAGGTAATCATCAAGTGATCCATGTCCAGCCCCTGACAAACAGGCTAGGAACACTATTCTTATTAGGCAGAATGAATAAATATGGATCGACCTAACCTTCATGCATTTATCTAGTTCTTTTTTGAATCCTGGTCTTAACATCCTCTGGTAAGGAGTTCCACAGGTTGACCGTGCACTGCATGAAGAAAAACTTTCTTTTGTTTGTTTGAAACCACTACCTATTAATTTCATTTCGTGACCCCTACATCTTATGATACTCACACCTTTCTCAAGACACAGCCTTCTCCCACATCAAAGGCTCCATTTCGAATCCTCACTCCAGCCCACCTATGCCACACACTGTTGACGAGTAGAATGCCTTTTTTGTTATGTGATACCTCACCTCCAAATCAGTGCACATAACAAAAGTCATTTGTACATGGATGTAAATATTAGGGGGAACGCTAGAGCATTTGTCACGTAGGACCATTTCTGCTTCCTTAAAGCTATGTTGGAAAGTACTAATTTTTAATACTGTAACAGGTATTATCTTAGCAAGGAGAGCAGCTTTTTGCATTTCTGAAGGGTGCTCTCTTTGGATCTGAGGCTACATTTGAAATATTACAATGGGAGAGAATGGGGCCATTTAAACTGCCTTGAAAAGAAGTATCCAATATTGACAGCTGTCTCTGCAGAGTTTTCTATTTTTATGTCAGAGCTTTCCATTGAAGCATCAATGTGCGAAGTTGATTTAATTCCTTTCTCAGAATGGCTCTGGTTCACCTTCCAGTTCTGTCTCCCACCCACTAGTTCCATTGGCACTGCTATTTGTGTCTGAGCTACTGCTGAATTATTTTGAAAAATACTGTGTTTTTGTTGATGAGCACAAAGTAGTTAGCATGTTCATTATATTTTTTCTCTCATTCTTTAACGCTAGCCAGCAGCTCGTCATAAGATGGATTTTCAGGTCTCTCCTCCACGTGTCTCTCTCGCTCTCTCTCCTCCTCCTCCTGCATCCCCCCCCCTTTCTCTCTCTGTCTCTCAGCTCTCCTCCGCCTCCTGCCACTCTCTCCGTCTCTCTCTTTCTCTTCTCCTCTCCCTCCTGCCTCTCACTTTGAGGAGCACGGAGCCCGAACGATCGCTTGTGCCACTTGCTTCCATGCGGCAGCCCGGCTGAGCAGCGCAGAAGTCAGCTGAGCGCCACTGCGGGAGGCGAAGGGGGCAGTGACATTCACAGCGAGGGATCGGGGCTTGGAGCCATTGTCACACAGCACGTCACCGCCCTGCCCTTCTTTCCCTTCCCGCCGTGGCAGTCGGCTGACTTCTGCGCTGCTCAGCCACAGGGAAGCAACTGGTCGTTTGGGCCCCGCGCTTGCATGGAGGTGCTGCCTGGGGACTGCAGTGCCCAAACCGCCCCTTGCGCTGCTTGCTCCCCCACGGCTGAGCAGCGCAGAAGTCAGCTGAGCGCCACGGCAGGAGGCGAAGGACATGACTCGGGCAACAGCGCCCGCCCAGAGGCAACAGCCAGCATTTCAGTGTTACAGAGTCACAGACATTGGGCTACTATATATATGATGTCAGTGTCAGAACAAAAAAACCCTCCAAGTTGGAAGGCAGTCCTTATGGTAGTAATAAAAATAAATGCTTACTGGAGGATGGGGTCCTCTGCTATGTATCTATAAGTATTATTTTAGTAGTCCAAGTCCATCTTTTTTAGCATCATATCATTTTTCTTCTCAGCCTGTCAAGACTGCTGAAACAGTTTGTGTAACTGATTTAAATAACTGAACTGTTTAACACAGGAACGAAGAGTATAATACATAATAGAAACTGCAGGTCCCATTCAATGATTAGAATTTATTATCCAAATTGGAATTAGGTTACGATAGCCTACTTTGAATGTTTTGCAAGTAAATGTCCAATTTCCCTGTTTTATACCTCATTTAAAAGAGAACTAAACTGCCATTTCTCTTCTGATGGTATATCATAACATTTATTTTATAAGTACAATTTATCCCTTTCCAGTCACAAGGTAAACTATTAGTTTTAAATCTATTCTTAAACTCTGAATTAGCAAGTGTTGAGTGATCACCTTTACCTTTTTTTTTTTAATTTAAACATATGATAATGTGCCAGTTTGTTATGTCTTACCAATGAATTTGAAGTGCTATGATTGAATTAGGCTATGCATTGGACATTTTATTAAAAGTACATCACAAATAAGTTGACTTTTTCAGTGGAAGTCTTTTACTATAGATTGAGCTGGTGAACACACTAAAATATTTCTCTCTTTCACAAAAGTATGGCGGTTACAGTGGTCAGATGCCAGGAATACAACTGAGAATGGGACAGCCAGTGCCAGGAGCAGTACCAAATATGTCTCAAGGAGCATACTCTGGATATTCTGCATATTCTGGTACTTATTCTGCTGCTGCTGACCCTATGTGGACTTTCTTCGCTGCTATTGCTGGACAGGTACGATAATATTTGAAATGTAATTAACTAAGTAAGCTCTGTGAGTTGACCTAGCAAAATCATCTTTTTTTCTGTGAAAGAATACTCAGCTTGTTCAGTACATTGTTATTAAAGCTGTCTTAGAAAGATGTCTCGCCAAGTAAATAAAAATGAATTGCGTTTAACAATAATGGTAACTAAAACTGGCATTTGAGTTTGATGTCCCCCATCTCTTATTGAATAATAGCATAAAGCTTAATATCAGTAGTGAGCTGTAAACAAGCTTTCATCCTTAATTAATACTTCCTTAATCTGAACAAACGTTATAGTTTTAAATACTTGAAGTATAGATGTTTTTTAAAAATACCAGTGATTGCGTAAAGTAAGAACCAATTACTGTCTGTCCCCCATCTCCAAAAACAAGAGCCTGTTAAACTTTTACAGATTTAGTGGACTTACTACTCTGATTAATAAAATAGGTCTTATAAGTATTCCATATTCATGTTTCTTTCCCTCCAGGCCATTTTTATAGTTTTGTGCCACTCGGTGCCATAATTTTTATGTGCACATAGCAAAGGAAAATACTAAAATCCTGTTCAAGTGGTTTCTGAAACCAGGCCAGGATTCTCATTCACTAATTTTAATGCTTTCACATAGCCTAAAAGTAAAGACATGCAAGAACATGGTGTCTAAAAGGAGAGTCCCAAGATACTTAAATCTCTAAAATGAAAGCTGCCTGAATTGTATTCAAGTGTTTTTTTTAACCTGAGGTCTTAAGTCTGATATTTTAAGTTTCTCAGTCACATGTTACTATCCAAACAGAGTCTCTTAGGGTATGTCTACACTACAACGTTAATTCGAACTGACTTAGTTCGAATTAACTAACTAATGGATCCAGACTAAAAAACTAGTTCGAATTAGTGTTTTGCTAATTCAAACTAGCATGTCCACATTAAGTGGACCCTGAACCGGGCTTAAGGATGGCCGGAAGCAGTGCTGGCAGGGCATCAGTGGAGGACTTAGAGCATGGAGATGCTGTCTCAGGCTAGCCGAGGACTGTGCTTAAAGGGTCTCGACCCCCACCCCGGACAGACAGTTCTCAGGGGTGCCCCGCTTCAAAGCAGTCCTGGCTTGGATTGCCCAGACTACCCACACTGGGCACATCACACCACTCAGCCATCAGCCCGGCTGCACTTGCCGCAGGCTGCCATCTGGGGAGAGGAGGCAATTGGGGGGCTGCAGGAGAGCTTCCACCCCTAGAAGCCCGCAGAGCCAGCCCAGTCCTCCCCATCTGGGGCTTGTGCCCCATTCCTCCCTCACCTCCTTCCACTTACCCTTCCCTAGCCCCTCTTCTTGATGTACAAAATAAAGATAACGTGTCTTCCAAAATGGAATCTGTCTTTATTGAACAAAACTGGGGAAGACTGGGAAAAGGAGGTGGGAGAAGGGAAGAGAGAGGCTGGGAGAGGGGAGGGCAACTAAAATGATCAGGGGTTGGGAACAGGTCCCATATGAAGAGAGGCTAAAGAGACTGGGACTTTTCAGCTTAGAAAAGAGGAGACGGAGGGGGGACAGGATAGAGGTCTCTAAAAGCAGGAGTTGGGTGGAGAGGGTGCATACAGAAAAGTTCTTCATTAGTTCCCATAAAGAAGGACTAGAGGACACCAAAGGAAAGGAATGGGTAGCAGGCTTCAAACTAATAAAAGAAAGTTCGTCTTATACAGCGTGTAGTCAACCTGTGGAACTCCTTGCCAGAGGAGACTGTGAAGGCTAGGACTATAATAGAGTTTAAAGAGAAGCTAGATAATTTCATGGAGGTTAGGTCCATAAAAGGCTATTAGCCAGGGGATAGAAATGGTGTCCCTGGCCTCTGTTTGTCAG